GGGGGGGGGGTCCTCTACACACTTCCCGTGAGCTGAGACTTGGTAGAACGTCTTAATTGTCCCCAGGAAAGCGCCACCCTTGATGGGCTCAGAGCCATCCATCCCTGGTGGACACTGGGGCAGCCTTCCTCAGTGAGCAACCTCCAAACACCGGGGAGCCATCACCTCACCCCAATCTCAGGATGCCCAGGGAGCAACAGGACTCGCCCCGCTCTGGGGCAAAGGAAACCCAGGCAGCACCGACTGCTTGCTGCAGCCTCTTCCTCACCACTCACTTTGGCCCCTTCAGGCCAACCTCCTGTCATCTCTAATCTCTCTTCCTGGGTGGAGAGTGACCCAGGAGGAAGACCTCACGGAGCGGGCGCCACAGCATCTGCCTAGTCTGTGACTCTCAAAGATGCTGACTCATAGCGACACTCTGAGGGTTTTTCAAGACCGCAACTGTTTGGAAAACCCAGTCTTTCCCCTGCCGAGCTGCTGGCGGTTTCGCACTGCCGACCACGGGGATCACAGCCCAACGTGTAACCACTACCTCACCAGGGCTCCTACTAGTCTGCCTAGTTACCGTGAACAAAGGTTAAGTTCCACCCTGAGACTCCTTGTGGTGCATGCAGAGACCCCATCCCCGGTTACGCAAGTGACTTACTTTCTAAAACATCAAGGCAGCTCCGTCCTTCACCTCTGAGGAAAGGAAAGAGCTGCCTGGAACTGACTGACCAGGGAAGTGAGGCTCCAACTCCTAAATACTGTCCTTTTTGGGGAATAAGGACTCTTGGGTTCAAAGTTGTCTTTCATCTGGGCAGTAGTAAACCTGGGCCAAGAGCCCCTGTGGCACAGTGGTTGTGCTGGGCTGCTAACCGGAAGGTCAGTGGTTGACCAGGAGGGCAAGGGTTCAAATGTACCACTTGCCCCACAGGAGAAAGAGGTGGCCGTCTGCTGCTTCCGGAAAGGTCCACAGCCTTGGCCACGCTAGGGCGGCAGTTCTGCTCTGTCCTACATACAGGGTGACTCAGAGCCAGAACTGTCTCCATGCCAGTAGGTGGTGGGTAGTGAAACCCTATTCAGCTTCAATCGCATCATCATCAGAAAGGCTGTCAGTGCTGGGGGGCTAGGTGCTTCTAACCCCCCAGTGACAAGCTGAAAGTGTGGCAAACATAGTAACCTAAAGCCAGCTGGCCTGACCACCACTCGCACTGGCTTCTCAGCCCCACGGGTATCTCTGTTCACTCGCAACATGCTAGAGCAGAGAACCTGAGAGAGCCAGAGTTTGGGAAGTGAGCCCGGTGCTGAAAACAGGTCTCCAGACCCCTCATGGGCACTGCCCAGCAGGTGGTCCTCGAGGGACAAGCTTCTCCAGGGGTCTTTCAAGGGGCTCAAGTGACTGGGTTTTCCTCAGGCTCCTGGGATCCACTCTGTGTGATGTCCACTTTCTGCACCCCCACTTCGGAGGGTAGGGTGGCCCTCTGAGCTTCAGGAGGGGCCTTCTCTGCCCATCCTTACCCAGCGTTATTTCCTTTGACTCTCGGAAGGCGCACAGCTGTGGTTGGTTGCCACTTAGGAAACTGTGTCGGGCAGAAATAGTGCTCTAAGAATTGGACTGTGGCACCTCCCCCACTCTCAAGCCTTTGAATGGGGACCCGGTTTTTATTTTCCCCTGGGGCCAGACTGTCCTGGGGGCAGGGGAGGATGCCCCCTGAGGAGACTCACTGAGAAGTTTGCATGTGTCCTTAAACTTCTATGAATGTGTTCAGATCTGATGTACAAGACCAGGGGGGGGGGTCTTCTCTCAACTCTCCCCACCTACCCAAAGGACACTTCTTTCTGAGACGCCAGGGGACACTGCCTGCATTTCTTCAATTCACACCATGAGCGTCTCAGTATCTGACCCAAAACGTCCTCAGTGACGTGACCTAAAGCCAAGCCAAATGTTAACCGTGCCCTCACTCAGGGTTTGTAGCAAGCACGCAGTGACAATGTCATTTCCAAGTCAGTGACTTTTATTTCTCGGATATTTCACAGTCATCAGTTGCTACAAAACTTCACACTTCTCAAAAGAATTCACATTTGGTAAATAATGTCTACCCTACAGAACCCATGGCTGAGAACACATTCCGCCTGTGCATGAGAGCTACTTTTCTGCCGATGGCGCCGCAGCAGGGAAAGGAAATCAGATGATGGCATGACCGACAAAAAGCAGCGAGCGTTAATAAGTTACAAACGTCATTCAACTCCATACCTATAACCAATTCAATCAGCAGCTTTTTCTAGATGCGTTTCAACACTGCCAACAAAATCTGCCAAAAGTTCTCCTCAGAGTTAGTCTGAGGTAAGAATGGCTTCTCACTTCAGGAAGGGGCAGCTCTGCCACAGTACTTCACACCAGACCACATCACGCATGCCAAAACCATAACTACTTACAGCCGCGTGCACGCGTGCGGCGGCGAGCTCTCTGGTCCATGCCCAGGTCCCTCCATCGGATGAGCTGGCTTCAGACCTCAGTGGGTCCCTTCTTCCAAGATCCAGTGTCTGTCTCTTTGGCCTCGTCTAATTACAGCTCCCCTATGCAAGGACCACCAGGCGGACAGCTGAGACGGGCTCCCAGCACTAAGCTGCAAGATCCGAGAGGTCAGTGGGGAGAGCTCTGCATCTCCCTGCCTCTCAGCAGTGGGGACCCAGGGTGGCTTTCAGCCAGGAGGCGGGCAGCTCCTCAGAGGGGTTTGCCAGCAGAATAAATTTGGTTCTCTGCGTCTTCTGATTTTTGACACTCAGCAAGACACATGAGAGGTGCCCAGGCTATTCTGAAGGCACCTGTCTCTCTCTAGCTTTGCTGCCAAGCAGATTCTGCCAAAAGGAAGCTTCCTAGCACGGTGCACAGAACGCAGCTGCGTGCCCACCAACGCGGGGGGAACAGGAGCGGACGAGAGGCCCATGGAAGGGTGCCGGGTCTGGGAAGGACACGCTCGCTCTGGTTTTCACACTTCCCTCAGAAAGCACGCGGCAGGTCCTAGTTCTACACAGATCATGGGCGTCTAAAGATTTAGTTGCGTTTAATTCTAAATCAGTCTCTGCCAAGTCATACACGTTTGAAACCCTGTCAGTTTTTAAAGTGATGCTAGCATTCTAACTACCTAATAAATAGGATGAGTCCCTGGGTGGTTCTGACGATGAAGGCATCCCAGCTGCTAAGCAAGAGGGTGGAGGTTGGAGCCCACCCAGAGGCACCCGGGAACAAAGGCCATCTCCAAAAAGCCCTGCAAATGTACTGCCACTGAGCCGGTGCTGACTCATGGTGACACCCCCCACCCCCACCCCGGGCAGGGTGAAGGCAGACAACCTCCTCTTGCTCCTGTGCAGGGGCTGGTGGGTTCCAGTGGCTGGCCATGTGGTCAGCAGTCCAACACAATGTCACCAGGGCTCCTTCCTGACAATCTATTTCTAGAACACTCGACCACAGAAATCCTTACGCAGCATGAGTCGGGGTATGCCACAGGGTCACTGTGAGTCCACATCAGCTCAGGGGCAGCTGGTGAGTGACTACGACCATTAGCCTGTGGCCTTCACAAGACCTCGTCAACAGCATTTTCCTTGTGTTGCACTAAACACACTCATTTGTCAAGTGGAAAGAGTTTCAAGCAGGGGCAGTTTTTACAGGAGAGTTTGAATCTCATCACATTTCTAGGTGAACGGTGAATAGCCGACCCAGGTCCCTTTGCCTGTGACCATGCCGGGGCACACAGAACCTCTGGCTGTGGAAAGCAGCAAGCTCTCTGTAGGCCGATCTCAGGTTGACTGCATTGCCTGGGAGGATCAGCCACTGAGAGCCTACCAGCTCTCCTGTTTCGGAGAAACTAGGGGGCAGGGGGGCAGAGAGTTACCTCACACACACTACACTCTGCAGGACCATGCAAATTGCCTTTAAGGTGCTAGCCAAAAGACAGACCCTGCTGTTGCAAATGAAGAAAAATGCAGAAAGGACCAGGATCTTCCAGCTCCGGACCAAAGGTGCTGGCCAGGGATCTGCTTCCTTCGGATTCCCCGGAGAAAAAGGCAAGCTAGCGAATAAAACCCCAGAAAGCACTGAATGGATTCTTCTCATTCCCGAGAAGTCTGAAGACCCTAGCCTGGCAGCGCGGGCTTGTGGAGAGCAGGTGAGGCCACTGGTGTGCCCCTCCGCTCGGCTCCCACGAGGAAGAAAACGAAGTCTCTGAGGTCCAGCTGGGTCCAGCTGGCACGAGCCGAGGCACGCAGACACACCGGCTCTGAGCTGTGACCACGTCTCTCTCTGTTCCTGTCCACGGCCCTGCACCCTAACTCCCGGTCGGAGGAGAACCACCCACCCCAGTACTCTCTCCTGTGATGCCCCACACCCCACCTCAGTGCCTGCTCCGGACTCACAGTGACCCCACAGGGCAGGGCAGAAACACCCGTGGGTTTTCAAGTCTAACTCTTTACAGAAACAGAGAGCCCAGTCTTCATCCCATGTGGAGCCTGCAGGTGGCAGCTCCACATGTAACCATTTCTCCACCACGGACGAAGGACTGGAGGACACTCGGAGCCTGAGGTCGAGAGGAGCACAGGCATATGGCATCTGTGCACACACCCAGGGGAAGACAGCAGCCAGCCAGGTGCTAGCCCCTTGACATTGAGAAGTTCGTACTCGTCCTTTGGGAAGCAGGAGTAGACAGTGGCAAGAATGAAAAGAATCACTCAAGTAACAGGACAGTAGCGCTCAGTGCTACGCGTCTGGGTGATCTGAGAGAGCGTCTAGGTCACTGCCTGCACGGCCGGCCCTGGGGGTGAGGGACGCCTGCAGCTTGGCCCAGGCCTGAGGAGCCCTGCTCTTGGCAGCCTCAATAAACAGCTGCGTCTGCTCCTTGAGCTGGTCCAGCTCTGCCTGAGTGGCCTGGTTCTGCCGAATCAGCTCCTTGGTTTTCAGGGTGATCTCCAGAAGGCCGGACCTGTGCAGGACCACCAGTGTGTTCTGGAAGCGCCGGTGTCTGCTCTGCCTCTGCTCAGGAAAGAGCTCTGGGCTGCGGCACAGGTGCTCGGTGGCCCACAGTGGGGAGCTGTAACTAGCGGGCAGTGGGGACAGTGGGGAGCTGCTCTCAACGCCATGCAGGGTGCTGTCGGAAGCACAGACAGGACTGGCCGGGGCAGCAAAGGTCAGGCTGGGTGCTTTAGCCACGTGGCTGCTGGACACGGGCTGAAGAGTCTGTGGGCTCCCCCCAGCCACCAGGGAGGGCACGCCCTGCGGCGCAGAGTCCTCTGAGAGCTTGGCACTGGGCAGTGCTGGAGGTGAGGGGCTGGGCGGCTCGCTGCGAGACCCTCTGGGCCCTGGGCCCCCTGTGCAGAATTTCTTCTGCGCCACACCCTCCCCTCGCTCCTCTGGGCTCGGGGGCAGGCCCCTTTTGCCCGGGTGTGGGGCTATCTTGGTGTAGGAATTGAGAATAGGCAGGTAGTTCCTGGAGTCTGCCTTTTTCTCCCCAGTGTGGCCAGGGCTGATGGGGGAGGGTGCAGGTGGGCGCAGGAGCAGGAGCTGGGGCTGTGCTGAGATCACTTCAAAGGAGGGCTGGACTGTCCAGGACTGCAGCTGGGTCGAGCCGCTGCCCTGAAACAGAGGAGAGAACGGCACACTGCTTATCACCTGTGGGGCGACCCAGGGGCAGAGCAGATCCTGGATGAAGCCCACCCCCAACCCCAGGGCAGAGCTGCCGCCACCTCCAGGCAAAGAAGAGGCTTCCAAGTCCATTTGTGTCCACAGCACAAACTTAAACGCCAAAACCCCTCGTCGATTGCTGAAGAAATCACATAGTTAAGACCATGCCTGTGCCAATAAAGATATGGGTAGTAAGACATCCTGCATGGATTAAACCCTCAGACCTAGTGGGCTCTACACCAGACTACCTGCACCTGGTTACACCTGGGGCCTTCCAGCTGAAAGCAGCTTTTGATTCTGAGGTACAGCTTTGTGGGAGTTTACAGGTCTGCTGGTAAGGCACTGGTGCCTGGCCGTCAGGCAACCTCTCAAACTCATCCCTGCTGTCGAGTGTGGGGTGGGTGCCACAGCTCACGCTGTGTGAGGTTCTCCTTCTTAACAGCCCACATTGACTTACTGTTTCCCTTCACCAATGGGACACCGAGACTTGGAAAGTAAAAAGAACCCACTTCAAGTCCCTGAGCAACTAAGCGATGGAGCTGGGCCCCCGTACTTCGATTCGGACACCCAGCTCAACCACCCCGCTGTACTCAGGACGGCCCTACAGTACAGGGTGGAACTGCCCCTCTGAGTTTCCCAGACGGAGTCAAAGCTACATCCTTCCTTCTCCTGAGAAATGTTTGGTAGTTTGATTGCAGCCCCACCCATCATTCCCTATGCCACCAGGGCTCTTCATTCTTCCACTCTACACTTGTATTTTTCAAGCTGTTTCAGATGGAAAATCAATAAAGAAGGCCCCAGTACTTGTCTCCAATTATTTACAAGCCAGTCCAATTCTAGCCAGGGCCCAAAGAGCTCAGTGTAGAGGAGGCCGGGCAGAGGAAGTCTGACAGAGGTTCTAGATATGCTACCTAGTCTAGATAATCTCATGGGCTCGTTTATGTGAAGAGAGCTGTGGTCGGTCACAGACATACCACTTCACACAGTGCAGCTTCTTGGATGTCAGGCTTAGGAACTACAGGCCAATTACACTCCATCTCCTGTACAAGGGTGGGGGCGTCTGAGGTGTGTTTTCAAACCCTCTTGTGAGGGTTTAGCCCTTAGGAGGCACGCTTTCCCGGTAAAAGGAGCTGCAAATCCCCAGGGCACAGTCCAGCCTTGCTCAGCTCAAGTCGGGAGCAAAACTTCAGGCTGCCTCCCAAACCAGACTCCTGCCCTCAGGCTGACCCTCAAGGCAAGCAGAGGCAAAACCACTCAATCACTTCCCCACGGTGATTTTCCTGGATCGGTCTTCAAATGCCGCTCCTGTGCCCACTCTCCTGATGGAGACTAGTCTGTTTATTCTAATGAAGTGATGATGGGTTTTCCAGGTTGCCTCATTCATTCGGACAGCACTCAGGGGAGGAGTCAGAAAGCACGTTAGACTTCCTGAGGCTAGGTAACGGTGCAGGACAGGTCTAGTGATAGAACTGGAATCAGTTCAGAGAGAAACACCTACAGCCACGAGGCGTCACGCCACAGGCAGAGATTTTTAAAGGCAGGGTGTCATTTTAAATGCAGAGTGCGCTGGATCCTATGGAGTTAAGATGAAACAAAACCAACCCTAGCCCATTCCTTGAGGTCAGCCTGAACCCAGGCTTCCTGAGGGAGCCGCAGCCTTCCTGGCTGGCCTCCCGTCGGGGAGAAGGCAGCTCTGCTGGAAAAGCCTACTGACTCCTGAACTGTGGGCTCTTCTCTGCTTCTAGTGCCGCCAGTCTAGCCTACACAAAGAAGGGACAAACAGGCAGCACTGAGATGACACAACAAGGGACCAGGGAGCAAAGTGGGGAGAGACAAGCAGCAGAAAGAGGGGGAGGGGCCTGGGGTGCGTGTCTATTTCCTGTGATCTTTTTTTTTTGCCGGCAAAAACCTTCACTGTTGTTTCCTAACTCACCAGGTACTTTGTTTCTGCGGTTTCTTCTTTTAAAAAATGTTTAATTGGCCTATAATGCATGTCATACAATTTAATGGTTTAATCATAATTCAGAAGAGTTCAGCAATCGTCACCACAATCAACATTCGACATTTTCCTCTTGTCCTCGTTGTTAGCCTCCTTTGCCACGTCCTTATGTCACTACTAATCCAGTTGACCTACCCTAGATGCCACACACAGAAAATCATGCAGCACACACACCGGAAGCAAACAAAAAACGCCCCCAGTGACCACCAAACCTCAACTGAAAAGAAAGCAGACAATATTAAAAACGGAAACAACTTTAAAGTGGGTCAGAAGGGAGATCAAATTATAAGGTATTGCATTTTAACGACATTTGCTATCACTGACTTTATAATGCTCTCTCTGTCTGATAGCAAGGCCATTCAAATCCCTCAACTATGGTCAGAGAGGATTCACCGGAGGCTCAATTGATGAGGAGCCCCTGCAAATGAATTTTGGGCTTCCACTGTCTTCCCGATGCTTCTGCAAACCAGGTGTCCACAATTTAAGCTTGGCTATCATTCCCTCCTTCAGATTTGGATTTTTCTATTTACAAGCCTCGGCTCACACAGGTTGGTGTGATTCCTCCATGTGGACTTAGTTGATGCCTCACTTAAGATGACTACCTGTTTGAAGATACGCCTTCAAGACCCCAGACACTATACTTTCTGATAACCGGGCACGATCTAGTTCTTTATCACACTTTTCTATAGTACCCACATCTTCAGTGATCTCTTCATGAGGACGGGTATGGAGTAGGGCCACATCATAAGAACGCATTATTCTTGATTGGGGCTAGAATTAGGTGTGAGCCCAAAATCTCCTCATACATTTAGGGTTTATATCTGTCTCTGGTTCACTTTGGAGACACTGTTGTCGTTTTATGATAGAGAACATTACAAAGCATCCCTGGGGCATAAGGTGATTCTAATGATTGTGCCATTAATTTAGCCAATGATACAGAATTGAAAATACTGTGAGAAAAGGAGTTTCTGCAGTTTCTAACCAGCCTGTGTTCCTCAGCAAGAGTGTAATTAGTTTCCTGTCCAAAGACACCCACATCCTTCTCACCTTGTTCTAACCCTGTCAAGTGGAAGGTCAACTACACCACCCCAGAGTCTCCAGAGCTCATCGGGGCCCATGAAAAAGCGAGCTGGGAAGTATTTTCAGGTGAAAGGTTATTTGGTTTAGATCAGTATTTTCTGTCCTCATGTAATCAGGCTCCTAGGACTGTGCTCTCCGTTTCCTACACTGGAGCTTAGCTTAGACGTTCTTCTGAAGCTCCCTTCCTTTCTGTATCTCAACAATGATCGCATAATTTGCAAAGCTGTGCAATCCAGCCTGAGGCAGCCTCGTTTTCAGCTTTGCAGTGCTGCTGTGTGAGATCACTAGTACAGCTGGGACCTGAACCACAGCATTTCTTTGTCGCTAAGAAAACGCTCAGCACGTGACAGAGGAACGTGGTCATGACCTGGAGCTCTGAAGCAAATGCATGCAGCCTCATTTCTGAACTCCCAGGGCCATTCCGATCAAAAAGAGGCTCTCTACTTCTGCCCTCAACACTGCCCTACGTGAGACCGCCCTCCTGAAGGGACATTTGCACTTGGTCCCTTGATGTATGATGGGTGTACTTTGGGGTCCCTCTGGACACACAGCGGAAACAGAAATAAAGTGGCCCCTGTTCCCCAAATGGGGTACCTGTCCCGTACTCATTGTTAAGGCAGAGCCTGTAGCTGGTGGAGCACTCTCCCCCAGGACAGGAAGTGCACATCCGAGTGGCTCTAGCAGGTGCTCTCCCTGACAGAGAGTGAGCTCGTCTACAGGGCATGCCCAGAAACGTTACTCTGCCTACCTGTTTGACCAGCACATTCTTCATGACGACCATGGGGGACAGGGCAGGGTAGGCACCATGTCCCGTCTTGGAGCTCAGCCTCCGCCGGTCTTCTTGGCTCCAGCCTAAGACACCCAGCATGTCCTCAGTCTCCATCTGCTCGGCCGAGCTCAGGCATTCTGAGCTCCCATCTGCTGGGCAGAAGAATGGTTAGTTCACTTGGGCCCTGGGCCAAGGGCTCTTAGCCTGGCTCCCAGGGGGCCAGGGGCCCCTGCAACTGAATGCAGTGTTTATAAAGTGTGCTTTTGTGACAGTTCTTGAGATATTTTCTGCTCATTCGCCAGTGTCTGAACAAGATCCTAAACTCTCCTCTGAGCCCCCCGGGGTGAGAATCACTGCCCTGGGCCAGCGTGGCTTCTGTTTAGAGCTCGGGCAGCCAGAGGCCTGTGTTAGTGGGGTTTATGGAAAGGAGTCACCACCAGTCTACCAGGTGATGGCTTCCCATTGGTTCCTTCCTTGCAAGAATCTGTGATTGGTGAGGATGGGGAGTGTGTGACCCAGGGCAGGCATAAGACCTTTGGAAGCTCTATGCGCACGATGTAGTAGTAGTAGTAGTAACAATAATCACTGCCTTCAAGTCGATGCCGAGTTACAGCAACCAATAGGACAGGTGGAACTGCCTTTGTGGGTTTCCGAGACTGCAATCTCATCTTTCTCCTGCAGAGAGGCTAGTGATTTTGAACTGCACACTTTGCAGTTAGCAGCCTGTGTGCAGCCACTTAGCTACCAGGGCTCAATAATAATAAACCGCCACATTTGATAACTATGCTAAAATCAAAGTTACTTCTTTTTAAAGTTTCTAATTGTAAAATTCAGAATAAGTTCATCAAAGCTGAAGTTTAAAATGGGTCTTTGTCTGTCATTCCCCTACATTCCCATCCTTGTAGGTCCTCCTCTGTCAGGCTCCTAAGTACATGCTGGGGGGGCCTACTGGGGGGCCTCCTGCACATAGGTGAGAACAAGATTCTCTCCAGGAATTCCAAGGTGAACAAGAGAAGGCTGCCCTCTGTAAATTCATACACAGAGGACCCAACTTAGCAACGTGCTGGAAGAGGCTGCTATAAGCATGCTCAGAGGAGCCTGGGAATATCCTAAATGCGCATCAGGATTCTGGAGTGAGAGGCAGGACTGGCATGTGAGTGTCATTTACATATGTGTGACTGTCAGCCCTTGTTCCGCTGCTCCGCACTACATTACAAGAAGACTGTAACCAGAGCGAAAAGGGCAGGAGCAGCCAAAAAGCACAGACAGGGCCCTCCGCAAGATGGATTGACATGGTGGCTGCAAACATGGGCGCCAGCATAAGAACAACTGGAGGGCGGTGGGTTCTGTTGCACAGGGAGTCACCATGAGTCAGAACCAGCTCGGCGCCGGCACCCAACCGCCACCACCTCCCGCAATGGAGAAGCGGGTCAGAATCCCAGTGAAGCTCTGTGGAAATGACAGCTGTTAACCACAGCCTCTCTCCTCCCCGCCTAGCACACTGCACATACCTACCGTGAGTGGTGCTGAAGGCCAGGCAGTTTTGCACAGCATCGAAGCAAGCAAGGAAGAGTGCTCATCTAGTTAAGCACCTTTAGGCCAGAGACATTGGACCCCGAACCAACCACACATACCTAGTAGCCGGGTCTGGTTTCTAGAGCCATTCTGTACAAAGACAAAGCAGGGTGCCTGGAGAAATGGCTGATCCCAAGCCTCTGGAGGGAAGGTGGTGTCCCATCAAGCAAGGAAGAGCTCCAGCACTCGGGGACATGCCCAAAAGACAGCGCATCCAGCTAGAAGGAGTTCCACTGGCCAAATGGAGGACCATTTAAGTATCAACAAGAATAATGACTGATGAATTAGAGAAGAATTAATGACTCCCTAACGATACTAGGAAAGGGAGTGGGGGCAGGAGGAGTGAGAGGCCCTCTTGACGGGAGAATGACAGCAAGTGAAGGTGTGAGGGATGGGTGCATGAGTCTCAGTTTCAGGAGGGATCAGCAGGATGTGCAAAGCACTGGAGAAGAGGGTTTGTTGGGGAACGGGATTGTCACCCAGCCTCAAAGTATGCATCCTGCAGTGTTTACACACCACAAAGAGGACGGGGTGCTTTCAAACAAGGAAATCGAGTGATCGAATGGCGCATCACCCAAAATCAGAGCAACGTATTCTTGTCAACAATGTCTCTCGGATCCAAATAGTATGGGGAACTCGCCAGACTGTGGGACATTCTGTCAACCAACGGGCCGGAGTCATGCAGGGAGTCAATGTCGCGGGGAAATGGAGGGAAAGATGGGCACTTGTTCTAGAGTAAATACGACTGAAAAGATAGCACGACGCCATAGAACCTACAGTCAACTGGATCTTGAACCCAAAGCAGACAGCAAGACAAAGAGCTATGACAGGCACTCATGGAAAAATCTGAATATGGTCCGTGTCTAGTGATAACTGTTGAAGTTCTTGGTCATGATAATAACATTGTAGTTATATAGAAGAATGTCCTTGCTTATAAGAGATACATGCTGAAATATTCCAGGGTGAAAAAGCAACTTACTTTCAGATGATTCAGTCAACATATAAGAGGGCTTCAAAATGTTTTATGGAAAATGAAATGAGAAGACATGGAATTTCCCACAAACTTTTTAAAGCCCCCTCATACACTCTTCACTTGTTGGCATGATCAGGTTCCAGATATAGAGTCAATATGCAGAAATGGAGGATGACTACATTATCACACAGCTGCCAGGTTCTATCATTACATAACTGTCAGACCACTGAGAATCATGGCCCAGCCGCGTTGGCACATAACCTTATCCATACTGCCAGTATTACTCTCACTTCACAATGGTGCATTCACTGCTGCCATACGTAAGTCATTGATGTGTAAGATGGTCGGACAGTACTTTTTTACTATCCTAAATGTGAAATCTGATAATGAGAGGGTCACTATGTAAGGAGTAGGTGTACGTTGTCTGTGCACGTTACAAGAATGCAAATAGTAAAACCAGGGGCCCTGAGTGCTGCCTGGGGCATTCGCTCCATTTGCTGTAAAGTCACTGCCTTCCAGTCCATCCCAGTTTCATGGTGACTTTGTAGGACAGAGTGGAACCGCTCTGTAGGGTTTCCAAGACTGTAAATCTTTATGAGAGCAGGTAGTCTCATCTTTCCCCTGTGGAGCAACTGCTGGGTTTGAATTGTCAACCTTGTGGTGAATAGCCCAATGCTTAACCCGTTGCATGACCAGTGTTCCCTTAAATTTTCTGTAGATCTGAAATTTTCCAAAGTACAAAGTTGAGAAATAATTAAAAACAGACTCACTTGGTTTTGTCTGGAATGATAACTAAGAAACAAGGCGTGGCAGGGGCATTCCCGGGACCTAATGAGCTCTAATTATTTTTAATACCATCTTATATCTCCAGAGTACAATACTACTTAGTGTACTTTTACACAAAGGATACGGACACCATCAGAAGTATCCAGCCCGTATGATAATGTACAGTCTCAAAGTGGTAGGAGGAGTAATGTCAATAGTGATGGGGCTAATGAGTGATAAGACTATGGGTAATTTTTGTACTTTTTAAAACTTCTGGTTTTCTACAATGGGCTGTATTACCTCCATAATATGGAAAACAGATTGGAAAAGCTTTGCTATTAACAAAAAAACAAGCAAAACCTAACCTAGGCCTGCAATGTTTCTTAAACCTGCCGGATCACACCAATCACCAGACTTGTATCAAACCAGACTCCAGGTCTTCCTTCAAACCTTCTTAAGCAAATTAGCCACTGCCTTGCCAGTTGGGAAAGCCTTGCCAAGAAATGAACAGGAAGGCGCCCCCACCCCACCCTCACCCCTTGCCTGGCTACAGCCGGCCTGCCCTTCTCAGGGCTGCCTAACACTGAGTAGGGACAACTAACTAATTCCTCTTGTTCTAATCCCTCAGCCAGTGCCATGTTCCTCCCTGAGCAACAATCTATTTATAATTAGGCCTCTCAGGCAGCACGTCTGGCAGAAAACATACCAACCCAAGGAGAGAGCTCTTGTTTCCTGACAGCTGCGCTTCTCACCCTAAATGAGGAAGCTGGATCTAGGCTCAGTGAGCATGGATAGATAGCTTCAGTCTTCCCTCGGGGTGGGCTCCACTCTCAGGGAGCTGATCCAGCCGGAATTCCCCACTGTAGACACTACTAGAACCTCGTCAAAGCCACTGTCCTGAGATCTAGAAATAGAAGCGTCTCAGACAAAAGGAAGAGGTTCACTGGGTGTGCCTTTACTACTCTGGGATAAGGTTTAAGACCCAGTATTAGGGCGGTTATTCTGCTCTCGTCTCAGGCGCTCAGGTCTGGAACTGGGCCAGTTAGCTCATAGTTCAAACTCAACTCACAGATCCTGGGGGGAAGCAGTATGAGGGAAGGGGAGTCTACATTCAGCAAGACTACTTTCTATTCAAAGTTTTCTTTTTAGTTTTTTAAATTACTTTATTTATAACATAGTAGGGATTACATGGGATATTCAAAGTTTTCTTAAAAGTTTGCGTACCTTTTTGTTTTTGTTTGTTCATATTAGGGTTTATCTCAGAGGTGTTATGTCATTGGGGTCACCCTCTTGAGGTTGTGTTATAAGTTTTTCTGTTTTTCAAAATATGAAACCCAGGATTGGTGAAACTATAGGGGCAGCAAGTAGAATAGGTGTTTTGTTTTGTTTGGGGGTAGGGGGCGGATAGTGGTAGCGGTGGTGTAAAAAGGAGACAATGTCAAGGACTCCAGGAAGAAAAAGAATGTTTGAAAACTGATTGTTGTAGCAACTGTACCACACTGCTCAACATGACTGAACTACAGAATGATATATGTATTGACTCCCAATAATAAATTAAAAAAAAAACCACCAAAGTATATCACACACGTTTGCTTAACTGACAGCCTTCATATTTGTTACTCAGTGACAACTCGGGGTGATTTTTCCCACTGCAGTGTGACCACCCCAAAGGCGATGAGCCCACACAGGAGAGTGGGGAGTACTATGTCTCAGGTATCTAGGGCAGCTTTAACAGAAGCACCACGAGGGATGGCTTCATCAAACAGCAATCTTCTCCTGAAGAGAGGCTGGTGGTTTCAAACTGCCGACCTTGCAGTACAGCCCAATGTGGAACCACTAGGCCACCAGAGCTCCTGGGGGAACTGGGATGAGTTCAGAGCACTGGCTCTGTGGGAAGCTCCTGATCTCCAGAGGCTTTCCCTGCTCCTGTGGAAATATCTATGTGGTTTGGCACCAATCTCCCCTTTCGCCACTTCTTTGGGCTCTTTACTAGCTCAAAAGAACTGACTCAGGATAGCCCCAAGCGGATAACAAGGAAGCTTCCCATTCCCAAAAGGGTTTAGAACCCCAGGCATGTTGTCTGTTGGTGCTGTTAGGTGCCTGCCTTCCAGTAGGTTCCAACTCCTAGACTCTGTGTACAACAGAATGAAAGGAGGCACTGTCCGGCATAGCAGCTAGTATTTACCACACATATTTGGGGAGGGGTGGACAGGCCACAATCCAGTCCATACCAGAGTACTGAGCTCCCCGACACCCCCCACCCCTCACGCAACAGTTGGAAGGGTTCAGATTTAAAGCTGAGGTTCTGAGCTGACACAGGATGCCAAGGCCTTTCAAAACTTGCCCCAAGGCACCATAATTAGCATTTTATACAACTGAGAGATTGTGGCTCCTCTGCTAAAGAAAAGCCCCTCCTCTTTATCATACAAATGAGTTTGGGGGAGGGAATTTTCCAGGCGACTCTGTTCCCCGCAGGAAGGAGGTGTTTTAACCTGAAAACCCCGAGTCCTTGTCGGACTCCGCAGCCGCCTGGCGGGGGTGCTGAGCCCCCTTCCTCGGCTCCGTCCCTTTGCTGAGCTTGGCCGAGCGTTTCCGGGGGCTCTCCCGGCCCGGGGGGCTCCTCTCCATGGTTCACTGGGCTGGAAGCAGGCTCATCCGGGCTCTCTTCAGCAGTCTCGCCCTGTGGAAGCAACCAGGACACACAAAATCATGGCCCGGAGGGTGGTGGGGGCATAGGAAGGGCCTGGGGTGGGGTGGGGGTGGGGCTGCCCTGCCCACCTAACTGGGTCTTCCCTGAGGTCCCTCGGACAGAGGCGGAGGGTCTGCTGGGCCCTGGAGCGGCCTCCCTCCAAAGCAGGCTCTCGGTCCTTGGTGGGCAGCTGCAGCTCCTTCACCCACTCAGGACACAGAGCTAAGTCCTGGGGGAGCTTTGTCCACTACGAACAAGGCTCATTTTGTGCGGCTTTTTGGTGTAGGTAACCAGATCGGCTTCCCCTCTGTTTGGAGGGTTGGGGCAAGGTGCTGGCAGCGCAGGCTGGCTTTCCTGGTTTGTTTCTGCACCTGCCCTGGTGGAAGGCTTCCCAGTTCACCTCTCACTTCTTTCGATGAGGTCATGAACAAAGTCAAACAACTCCTTCCAGATGCCTGCTACTTTGTGGCTTAAACACGACGTTTAGGCACAAACAAGATCATGCATAGCAAGTGCTCTGATTGCATACAAAGTGAGCTGACAACACCGTTGTCACTGCTCATTTAAGCCCCACAAGGGGCCCCCTCAGTTGCTAGCCCATTTTACAGAGGGGAAAGCTGAAGCTCAGAGAAGTACGTTCAGTAACTTGAGACTATTTATCTAGTGCCCACCATGGACCAGGGGCTGCAGGCCAGGGAGAGAGTGACATTTCCAAGCAATCTCACATCTAATCCATTGCCATTTTAATGAGAGCTAGAGAGGAGAGAGGCTAACAGGCAGGGGTGGGGGGTGGGGGGGGGTGTCTGAGAAGGGAAGGCTTTCAGCAGAGAGGACCCACAGCAGCTGGGCTCTGCAGTTAGCTGGAGTTACACATCACATCAGGTGTGATAAACAAGGTTGGCAGGTCAAAACCACTAGACACTCCTCTCGGAAATTCACAGGAGCAGTTCTCTCCTGTCCTATAGGGTCGCTAAGAGTCAACATTGACTTGATGGCAGTAAGTTTTCTGAGAGTGGGGTGCAGGGGTAGGGCAGGGTGGGGGACAGTGCAGTACAGAAGGGGTGGGTCCAGAGGTGGTGGAGGTCGGCCAGGCAGTGCACAGGAGCCCACCTCAAAGACTCTCCTCATCAGTTTAGGAGCAAGGAAGGCCTTGAAAGGGTCTCATTCAAAAGAGTGCCCGTGATCAGATGTACATTTTACATGCACTTGGCTGCTGGTGGAGGAGCTGGAGGCGGCCAGGACAGCAGGGAGCCCCCTTAGATGCTATCGTGGGGGCTAGATGGTGCCAGCAGAGATAAGGAGACATGGATAGATTGGGGATGTATTTAGGAGGCTGGCTTAATGGGGTTTGGTGACTGTATGTGGACAGGGTGCATCTTCTGCACTAGGGAGTCAAGAAGAGTAAAGGGGAGTGAGTGGGGCAGGGTGGGCTTTTGTCTAGGCCACACGTGGCAGACCCAGAGCGGGGCTCACAGTGCAAAGAGGGAGAGAAATCGGTGGAAGGGCTGGCAGGCAGGGGCTGAGTACACTCCATCCGGCACTTCATCTTAGGGCAGTGGTTCTCAACCTTCCTAATGCCGTGACCCTTTAATACAGTTCCTCATGTGTGGTGACCCCCCCAACCATAAAATTGTTTTCGTGGCTACTTCATTACTGTCATTTTGCTACTGTCATAATTCGGTGACCCTGTGAAAGGATCGTTCGACCCCCAAAGGGGTCGCAACCCACAGGTAGAGAACCGCTGTCTTAGGGCCTCCCGAGTGGCCAAGGAATGGCAGCAAGGGTGGCACACTAACAGCACAAAGGGCACTGCTAGATAGTGACGATGGGGCACCAACAGGGAAAGTGACAGTAATGAAGTTGGAGAGAGGTCAGGAAAGTCCGGTGACATTTTAACTCGCAACCCCCTTGTGACACCATTCTTCTGTCCCTCTGACTCAAGCCGCTCCCCAACTGCACTGCATGTGGGGGATGACCGAAATGCCGTTTCTCCAGGAGAAACACAGTTCATTTCAGGTGAAGCCGAGCGCAGGGGGCCGGCGGGCTCCTTGCTCAGACGTGTGCATGAGTGGGCTCTGGGAGCACCACTTGGTCAGAATGAGAGCGAATGCTAAACACAATCTCACATAAACATTCTTCCACACTCATTTCAGGGGTTCGAGCCCAAACATTAAGGCCTCAGAACGGCCACACATCCCCGCCTGTGGGCATCAAAGACAGACAACAGGGCTGTCCCGCCTCAGGTCCCACTCCCACTGAATCAATTCTGACCCTTAGTGACCCTGTAGGATAGGGTAGAACTGCTCCCGTGGGTTTCTGAGACGGCAACTCTTGGCAGTAGGAAAGCCTTGGCTTTCTAACGAGGAGTGGCTGGTGCCTTTGAACTGCTGCCCTTGAGGGTGGCAGCCCAATGTGTAACCACGACACCACCAGGGCCCCTGCCCCTTACACAGCTCTGAGCAAAAAAGTCAGGCGTATTTGACAGCTATGAAGTGGACCTAGTTTTGATAAATGGAGTCTACAATATAAGCATAGATCTTTAATTAAATCAGGATCCTTTTGAGTGAAGTGCAAAAAATAAGTATAGTTTAATATTCTTGCAAATAATACTATCCAAGAGTGAGCTGGAGGCTGTTCAAAATGGATGTCGGTGGGGCCTGTGGATGGCACTCAGGCTACCTCAACTCTGTCCCTGCTGCCAACTTAGATTAGGAAGGAAGGTCGCTCAAGTGAAGTGCAGCTAGTTAGGTGGTAACCAAGCTTCACACAGGAGTTTACTAAGCCCAACTCTTTCAGGGGAAGCACCCCAATTCACTCTGCAGTTATCCTTGGGAAGAAGCCCTGGTCACACAGTCGGGTAAACACTAGGTTGCGAACCAGAGCGTTGGTAGTTCAAAACCCATTAGCCACTCGGCGGGACAAAGATGACACTACTACTCCTGTAAACATGTACAGCCTTGCAAACCCTCTCTAGGGTCACTGGGAGTTAGAATGAACTTGATGGCAGTGGGTATAATCCTGTAACAAGGCCATGGGAAAGGGCTCATTGTTGTAAACTCTGGGTGGGGCACAGGGAGCCTGGTGGTACGAAGGTTAAGTACTCAGCAGCTAACCCACATGGTTGGTGGTCCAAACCCATCAGCTGCTCTGGGGGAGAAAGGAGGCAGCTGGCTTCCATGACAGCCTCAGAAACGCCAGGGAGCAGCTCCACCCTGGCCTAGAGAGTCCTTGCGTTGAGTACACTCAAGAGTATCGTGACTGGCTCAACTGCTAACCAAGCAGCTGGAGGCCGGCGCCCATGCAGGGTCACCTGGGAAGAAAAGCCACAGACGCTGCTTCTGAGCGGCAGCCTCACAAACGGGGGCACACGGGGTGGCCAGAAGCTGGCATCGACTAGCTAGGGACTAGTATTTTGTGCCGTGAAAGACACAGGGATTCACTCTGCTTGTGGAGAACTGGAAGGAGCCCTGGTGGCGCTGTGGGTTTGGCAATGGACTGCTGATCACAGGGTCGGCATTTCTAGCTGGTTGCTCTGTGCAGATTCCATGCTCGGACACCCACACGGAGTCACTATGAGTTGGAACCGTCTCGATGGCAGTGGGTTTGGGTTTCAATTTATGAAGAATCGACAGGGCAATCTTGACTGTGGAATCAAAATACTGACAAGTTAAAGGGAGACAGGATGCTCACATGTAGGATCCTGGGGAGCTGACAGTAGTTGGAAATAAAGAATGTGTGACCTACTACTGCAGAATGGGAAACTGGTGATTTGGGCGGGGACGTGAGTAAGCATATGGGCGGCGTTGGGGCGGAAATCCTGACTGTCCCAGATAGCTGCCCGGTGGGGTGGGAAGGAAGGGCTAAAGGCAGAATCCATAAACACCCTTCTTCTGTGAGGAGGCCACTTAGCGGGTGAACACCAGTCCCACTCAGCGAAAGTACCACGGAGGGCCCAGGCGGGAGAGCAGCCAGCAGCGCTGGCGTTTAGGTCAGCTCTCCGGCTCAAAAACCCACAGCCTAGGGCTTGAGTCCAACTCCCAGCGCCCCAATATGGAGTTTCCGTTTCTGAGGCTACTTACAGCCACCCTTGTCTGTTGGTTTGTCCTGCTGTGGCAGCTGGCTTATGTGTTGTTGATGCTGGTCGTTCTGTCAAGGGCTCAGACACAACGACACTGTGAGGTCGGTGCCCGACCGGGCGTGTTTCGGCTGCTGTACACAGGGCCCTTGAGAATTGGAGCTCACTCGACCATTAACAGAGAATCTTTATGGGAGCGGACAGCCTTGTCTAGCTCCGATGGAGCAGCTGGTGGGTTTGAACTGCCACCCTTTCAATAGCAGCCCAACACCCACCGCACAGAGGCTCCTTGCTCTCAACCCGAGGCCCATGCAAATGGTAGAGTCCATAGACCTTAAAGAATTGGGGTGTTTTTGTTTGTTTGTTTGTTTGTTTTCCTCCCCTCCCCCCATGGAGTTGGGGTTTTTAAAAAAAATCATTTTATTGGAGAACTCTTACAGCTCTTATAACAATCCATACACCAATTATATTCATCACATTTGTGCATACGTTGCCATCATCATTTTCACAACATTTTCTTTGTACTTGAGCCCTTGGTATCAGGTCTACTTTTTCCCCCCTCCTCCAACTTCCCACCCTCATGAACTCTTGATAATTTATAAATTATTTTTATTTTCATATCTTACACCATCCACTGTCTCTCTTCACCAACTTTGTTGTTCAACCCACTGGGGGGTTGAGGGGAGATGTTATACACTGATCATTGCAATCAGTTCCCCCTTTCAAGGAGTTGATTTCTATTTATTTTTTCCTCTTCAGTGTTATTTTATCAGTTAGAAGCTCATAAACTGACTAGGAATTAAAAATGGCTTACAGGGCTCTGACCGCCTGTCATCTCTGTATTTCTGGCAACGACTAGAAGCTAGTAGCACTGCTTTACAAACACCCCCGCTTCTCATGCGTCTAACTCCCCATTAGAAGGTCACCAACTTGAACTCCCCCAATGGTCAGAATTGGCCCGATGGGTCTCTTATACAGGTACATGTGACCAAAGGTTCCCAGCGAGCATAGACTACAATACTTAAGTGAATACATTTAATACATATTTTTTGTTTAAATAAAGATTAAATTCTAAGCAAAATTCTACAATAAAGAAGTATAATTGTAAGTGCTCCACGCAGCCCTTGGCCCTTCGCTTTTTGAACTTGTCTCCTCAACCTAGAAGGTTGTGTTTTTATCACCTGTGCCACCTCAGCCCTCAACAATGAAGAGGCACGTGAGGTACTCCAGACAGCAGTGAGTTCCAACTAATCTTCTGTCCTGCTGCGACTCTGTGACAACACTGGCCACTGAACTGTCACCAAAATATCCCAACAACTTGAAGCTCACGTTCTTGCAATTCCAAACATGCTGGCCATCTCCAGTTCTTCAGATCCCTAAGCTCCCCTTTATTTTAAGATGAACCCTCTTCTACAACAACCAGATTAAAGGAGACACTAGCTCTAATCCTCTTGGGCTATGTGGGTTTGTGATAAAAAAGGAGGGGGGTGTTAGAAGGGATCTGAAATGCTGTTCTCAGATCTTTCCTTTTATAGATACCTGGCAACTTTCCCAAGAGCTCGAGTTCCCTTTCATTGCATCACGTGTAGAACATGCGTGCATGGATGGAAGTGTGAAGTTGGAGCCCTGTCGGGGGGTTATATGCAATAATGTGGCAAGGCCAGGACAACAAAGACCTCCTTGTGTGTAATCCCAGTTATTATAACTCCAGGATTACAAGCACATTCCCAGGCTTTCTCTGAAGACACTTCTGCTTGGTCTGCATATGGGCGATCCCATGGGGGCGGGGGTGGGCACACACCATCTACATAAACCTCTCCCCTTCATTTTCATCAGTCATGCCACTCTCCTTATTCAAAGACCAGGTCAGGTAAGAGAAATGCCTCAACAGCTCCTGCTTCAAGACAACGGGCAGCAGGGTGCCCACCTACCCACACGCTGTGTCTGCGCCAGGCTGCTGGGGCACCTCCAGGCTTCTACCCGCCTGTGGCCCAGCAGGGCAGAACTGGGCAGACCCTAGTACAGTGCACTGACTGGCGTGCCACCAGCCACCCCGGGCAAAAGCCCAAGCAATGGGAACAGCCAGGACTTGGGTAATGACACACAGCCTAGCCCAGGCCTGTGGCCTTCTGGGCTGAGCTCAGCATTCCCCTAACCTGCCCACTCCCCACGGCCTCCTCGTTTGGCACGCCCTAGCCTTCTTCCCCCCACCTGCAGACCCTGGCACCGGGCCTGGCAAGCTGGCCACTCAAGGGACATACTCGGACAAGAGGGTGTCAGCAGGTCTCTGTAAGAGCGGCACACCTGTGCCCTGGACGCAGAACGGGACCCTGCCCGTACCTCCAAATCGGAGGTCCAGGCTTTGCCCCCAGGTCCCAGCTCCCGTGCACCCACATTGCCCCATTCAGGATGGCTCGCTCCCCGCCCGGAGGGTGCCCGGGTTAGGCCAGGACCCACGGTGCCAACTGTCCCACCTGCTCCCCACACACGCCCCCCTCGCTACGGCCAGTCCCCGCGCCTCACCGCAAGCCAACCAACTACACTGGGGGAGGGACGCAACCCCGGGTCCCCCAAAGTCCCGGGCCCCCCTCTCACCTACCTCGCTCCCCTTCTTGGTCCCGCTCCCCACCTTCTCAACGGACGCTCCTCCCTCACACTTCTCCCTCCCCCCGTGCCAAACTTGGCCTTTCTCACCTAGGGCGGGGGGGTCGCCACTTCGTAACGGACCTACGGGTCAGGTGGCGCATGCGCGAGCCAGGGCGCGCGGCTCCATGACAACCCCGCCGTCGCCGGGTCTCGAGCGATCCCCCTGCTTCCCGCCCCTTTCTCCTCCCCCTCGCCTCCGCGGCCGCGCTCCTCAGCCACGTGACCTGGCGCGGCCCACGGGCACCATAGAGACGGCGCACTGTGTTCCTAGAAGGGCACGTCGAGACGCGGCTGCTCCCCGCTCCGCCGTCAAGCCCGCGGCGGAAGCGGTCCGGCGAGGCCGGCGCTCTGTCCGCGGAGGACGCACGTCTCTATGACCGGCCGAGGCGGCGTCCGCCGCCATTTTGTGCGCGGGGACCTTGAGCCAAGCGGGCCGGGTTCCGAGAAGGAGGCCGGGGCAGGCCGGGCCGTCGCCGATTTGGCTGTTGACGGGATCGTTTTCGGGGAGTGGGTGGGGCTGAGCGGGGGGAAGCGGGCGCCTCGGTCTGCACCGCCGTAGCCCCGCGCGGAGCCCGGGGCAACGGTCCTCGGCGTGCGCCGGAGCGCAAGGCCGCCTCGTGACCCTGACGGAGGCCGGCGGGGCCCAATCTCCGCTACGGCCCCGCCTGTCTGCGCGCCTGTGTCCCTGTCGCCCCAACGGACGGCGCTGCACGAGGCAGGCACCGATGCGGGCAAGTGATCGCGACTCCGGATGTGTTCCCCGCAGCCCTCCTGGCTTATAATTCACATGTCCGGCCGTGCAGTCGGTCAGTCACATCAAGACCGACGAGTGTAATTGTCATTTCAAACATTCGTGCGATTGCGAGTCGTTGGCCTTTTATCAGGAATGCTTATTGGCTATTGAAAATAAAGAACACACACAAAATACAGAGCAAACACCTATAATTTTTTTTTAAAAACTGGGAGTTAATACATGCACCGTTCCATAGTTCCGTCGTGTTAAGCAGTGTTGTACAATTGCTACCTCAATCCGTTTCCAAACATTTTCCTTCCTGGACGCCGTGACATGGGCTCGCTTTTACCCCCTGCACCCAAACCGTTTCGTGATGTCTGGTTTGTGGCATTATGTTAGGTAGCAGAGCAGGGACCAGCGGTGTCTAAGGGGCATGCCCCAATTCAGGCAGTACACCTGGGGTCAGGTGGGCATAATTCAGCCATTGGGGTCATCCAGTACCTTGGACCATGCCTCACAGCCAAAGGCCCAAATACCGAGCCCTCGGACTGCCCAGCCTTCGACTGCTTCTCTGCGCCTTCTACTTGGCTGTGCCGTGGTCTCTCGCTCTCTGGCCTCAGGTGGGTGTGCAGTCCCGAGAGTTGCCCATGTTCAGTGACTACAACCTGAAACGTCTTCTGTCCTTTGGATCACAAACCAAGCGTCCGGCATGAATTCTTTCTTGTGCAAGGCCACGAAGTGAGGTATTTCCCACCTGAGAAACCTAACACATGGTGTCACATGACTCAGAGGCCTTCAGCTGGGGGAGGGGTGGTTGAAGGTATTGGTTGACCCCATTGGCCTAGTTTGGGCCCACCCAGGTATACCCCCCACCTGGTGTGGTGGGGCTGGGGCGCGGGACATGAATTGGCGCATGCCCCTTAGACATCCTTGGTCCCTGTTCTCCTACCTAACAACTACATTCTTCAAGAGGTGCAAACATTCTCACCCAGCATCGGCTCTCACCCAAAACTCACTGCCATCGGGTCAGTCCCAACTCATAGACCCTCGAGTTGGTGGTGGTGGTGCCCTCAGGGCAGTCGGACTCCTAGCGACCCTATCTATGTACATATAACAGAAGGGAGGGGCATCTAGTCCGGCCCCAGCCTGAAGATTGTTCTTAGGCTTGAACCTGAAAGGTTAGAGTAGAGGCTAAAAAAAGGAGGGTTGGGCTTTTCCCAGTGCCAGCAAACGCCCACATAGAGGGGTTGGAGAGAAATCAGACAGGACTGGGAAAATCCCAAACTGAGCATGCAAGACTAGGACGCCCTAGCACGGGTGAACCCTCAAGCCTCCCCTCCACCTAAGTCCAAGACATCACCCAGGTGCGTTTAAACTCAGCCCATACCATCAGCCAATACCTTCAACCACGCCTCCCCAGCCAGAGGTGTTAAAGACCTTGGTTTCCCGAAGGCTGCTCTCTTTTTCCGCTCTCTCTTACCTCTGCCCTTGCTCAGGGATTCTATAAGAGGGCCTCTAGCATGTGCCCAGAAAGGGCCTACCCTTGGGCTCTTGGCCACTTGGCCTCTGGGGATTCCCCAGTCCCTCATGTGGGGGTTTCACACTCCTGTTCTGGTATTCTTTCCATGTGGATTTTCCTGCCCCGTTGTGAACCCCAGCACGGCGTACGTCATCCGTGCGGCTTGGCAGGCTTTCCAGAAACAGCGTGTACCTTTTGACACTAAAACCTGAAACTGCCTGTCCTTCACACAATCTCCAAGTGAGATTACGAAAGTGCTCTGTGACGTGAATTCTCTCAGCGCCGTGTAGCCAGAACCGAGGCGTGTCCCGCTCCAGAAACCCAACAGCCATGGCGTCAAGCCATCTCTTTGAGGGTCTTCGTCGCTACCTCTCGACCCAGCTCGATGTCCTTCCAGGGACTACTCTCCTAACAACATGGCCAGCGTGTGTGAGAGAAGACGTCTTTGCCTCTAAGGAGGGTCTGGCCATCCTTCCTCCAAGACAGATTTGTTTGTGTTCCTCGCCAGCACCACAATCCAACCCCACGGGTGCCTCTGCTTCCCTTTTCCACCTTCACATGCATATGAGCGATTGAAAAAACCTGGGCTTGCATCAGGCCCGTCTCAGTCCTTAAAGCAGTGGTTCTCAACTTTCCTGATGCCTCCCTCGACCCTTTCACACAGTTCCTCATGTGGTGGCGACCCCCCCAACCATAACATTATTTTCATTGCTACTTCATCACTGTCATTTTACTACTGTGATGAATTGGGCAACCCCTGTGAAAGGGTCAGCTGAGCCCCAAAGGGGTCGAGACCCAAATGTTGAGAATCGCTGCCTTAAAGTAACATCCTTGCTTTGCAACATTTTCAAGAGGTCCTTGCAGCATATTTCCCCAATGCAGTGCATTGTTTGATCTCTTGACTGCTGCTTCCATGAGCGTTGATTGTGGATCCAAGCAAGGCAAACTCCTTGACAACTTCCACCTTTTCTTCATCTGTTTATCATGCTGTCACCTTTGGGTCCAGTGGTGAGGAGTTCGGTCTTCCTTACCTTGAGTTGAACTCCATACTGAAGGCTGCAATCCTTGATCTTCACCAGCAGGTGCTTCAAGTCCTCCTCCCTTTCAGCAAGAGAGGTTGTGTCATCTGCATATCAAAGGTTAATAAACTCTCTTCCAATCCTGATGCCACACCCTTCTTCATATAATCCAGCTTCTCTGACTATCTGCTCAGCATACCCATTGATTAGGTGTGGTGAGAGGACTCAACCATGACTCCCATGATTTACATGACTCACATGAATCACATGACTTACTGACTTAAACCAGTCTTGTTCTCACAACTACCTTTTGATCCAGGTACAGGTTCTGCATGGGCATAATTAGGTATTCTGGAATTTCCATTCTTCCTAAGGCTATCCATAGTTTATCATAATTCACAGTGGAGTGCCTTTGCACAGTCAATGAAACACAAGTAAACGTCTTTCTGGTATTCTCTGTTTTCAGCCAAAATCCATCTGACATCAACAATGATACCCCTTGTTACATTGAATCTGGCTTGAATTTCTGGCAGCTCCCTGTTAATGTACTTCTGCAACCTCTGTTAAATGATCTTCAGCAAATTTGTCCTTGCATGGAATATCAATGATATCATTCTATCACTTGAGCATTCTGTTGGGTCACCTTTCTTTGGAAGGAGTACAGATATGGATCTTTCCCAGTTAATTGGTCAAGTAGTTGTCTTCCAAATTTCCTGGCATAGACCAATGAATGCTTCCAGTGCTTCACCAGCAAGTGGAAATATTTTGATTGGTATTCATCAATTTCTGGAGCCTTGTTTTTAGCTAATGCTTTCCATGCAGCTTGGACGTCTTCCCTCAGCACCATTGGTTCTGCTCATATGCTACCTCCTATCAACGAGTTCTTTTGGGTACAGTGACTCTGTGTATTCTTCCTGCATCACTGATGCTCACTATTTTGCCTGTATATTGCAATTCGAGGCTTGAGTTTTTTTCTTAAGGACTTTTAGTTTAAAATATGTGGAGAGTGCCCCCCCATTTTTAGTTTTCTAACCCTAGGTTACACGGTTCATTGTATCTGATTTTGTCTTCTCAAACTGCCCTTTGAAAGTGTCTGTTCAGCTCTTTGAATTCATTTCTTCCATTTGCCTTAGCTGTTCTACAATTCAGAGAGCAAATTTCAGAGTCTCGGACAGCCACAGCCACTCTATAGGACAGAGTGGACTAGCCCCTGTAGGTTCCTGAGACTGAGCTGTGGTAGAGCAGTGGTTACTCATTAGGTCGCTCACCACAAGGTCAGCAGTTGGAAGCCACCAACTGCTCCGAGGAAAAAAGGTGGGGGTTTCTACTTCTGTTAAGAGTTACAGTCTCAGAATACCAGGGGCCAGTTCTACTCTATCACAGAAGGTTGTTTTGAGACAGCATTGACTTGCTGGCAGTGAGAACTCTTTATGGGAATAGAAAGCCTCGTTTTTCTTCAGCAGAACAGCTGGTGGTTTCAAACTGCCTCTGCCCCCAAATTTACTGTCTAACCCCTGTGGTGGAGTGGTTATGAATTGGGCTGCTAACCAGAAGGTCAGCGGTTTGAAGCCACCAGACTCCCCAGAGGAGAAAGATGAGGCGTGCTACCCCTGTGAAGAGGTGTAGTCTTGGAAACCCACAGGGGCAGCTCTGCCCTCTCCTGTAGAGTCGCTATGAGTCGGAAGCGAGTCGAAGGCTGTGAGTTTTTGAACCCTGGAGGTTGGGGTGGTCAGTTTGAAGGGTATGGATAGTTCTTTTGAAACGTGCAATGTTCACGGCAGACATTCTTTGCTACACTCTGGTCGGTTGAAACATTCCTCAGGATGGTTTTGGTTTGAGGTTTGAGGAGGATCTTGGACA